ACCAGATCGCCTCGGACTGTCAAGGAAAATGACATCAAGAAGAAGACCGGAGGATCATCAAGAAATAAGGGATCGGAGGCTTACCGGGCGCTCTCAGAGCTCAGCGATTTCTGGCCGTTGGATCATTTTGCTTGATGCGATGCTGTCCGTTAGATCGATGCGGTGAAAAATTATGGCCGTCGGATCGAGCCGCGCGCCTATAGCAATGAATAGTTATCGCGCCCTCCCGGTCTCTCTCACTTTGCGGACATGGTCCTGGCTCGCTGCCGTGTGGGGTAACGAAATGATGGGACCGCGTGTCATTTGCTTGGGCTGGGGGTGCGGTCCGTGCGAACCATCGGCGTGCCGCGCGCTGGTAAAAGATCTCATGCCACCGCCAAAATTCCCATGCCCCCCGAGAGCATTTGTGACATTTCACCTAATCCCATGCCAAGTGACTTCTTACCATTGGTTGCTCCCTCCCCAACCAGCGAGACAGCTAGGGCCGGGTCTCTCCCTCGCATCTCTCTCACGTTGAAGCCGCCACCCCATCCCCTTCTCTCGCGTCGAAGCCGCCGCCCCCTCCCCTTCCCCTCGCGCCGCCGCCCCCTCCCCCTCCCCCTTCCCCTCGCCGCCGCCCTCGGAGAAGCACCGCGGCCGCTGCTGCTCCGCGTCGCCGCTGCTGCTTCGCGTCGCCGCTCCTCACCCACCCACCGCGGTCGCCGTCAAGGACATGTCGCTCGCGCCGCCAACCCTATCGATCTCGCGCGTCACGCCTCGGGAGGAGAGGAAGCCCACGCTACAATACCCGGCGGAGCACTCCCTCGCGCCGTCGACGGGAGGAGGCCAGGCGGAGTGCGCCGTCGTCGCCGCAGCCTGGAGTGCGCCGTCGTCGCCGCAACTCATTCGCGCCTCCCCCACGTCTCCGACGAGCTCCAGCGATGTCCCGGTGGCGGCCGAGGGGCGGGACGCAGCGGATGGACGCGGCACTCGACCACTTCAACTTGATGGCCTACCGCAAGGCCGACGTCCGCAACCTCTGTCAACAAGCTGCTCAAGGTTCGTTCCGTCTGATTTTTCATCGACCGATTCGGGAGCTCATGGTTGATTCGGCCTCGTGCGTGTGCTCAGGATGTGTACGGGAGGGATGGGTGGCCGTTCCTGGAGGACAGCTGGTACTCCGTCGTGCAGGAGGCGCTCTTTGAGATGCAGGAGGAGCTCGCTGGCCTCGATTCGTCCGGCGCAATCCGGTGCGTCAAGTATGTTTTCCCCTTTGAATATCTCTGTTCCTTTGAGTATCTCTGTTCCTTGCTTCAGATGCGTTGTGCGTGTTGGCAGGAGGGCGTGCCGTCGGATGCGCCGTTAGCTTCAGGCCATGTATCGACATTGACAAGGTCAGTCAGTAGGAATGGAATCCTTTGCTTTGTTGTTGTACTCGTATCTACCAGTGGGTCGCTAGGTGCTCTGTACTTTGCTATATGATTGCAAATTGATGCCAAGATTCTTTGGTGGATGCTAATCGTTTCACTACGGTGTCATTCGCAAACTGACTATTATTGTAAAATAAGGAAACCACGTTTAGTGATACATTTATCTGTACTGCTATGCTGTCACCTGCAATCACCAAGTTTAGGCGCATCTGGCATTAACACCATTGTTTATCTGATAGGTTTGTTTTTGAAAACTCCTAGGGCAAAGTTAAACAGATTGTTGGATCTACTCTCCGGGATGCATCGAATGATGGCATGACACGGGTGACAAAAGTCTCCATCAGAATTTGCAAATATTTACAAAGAAGATGGACTGGTTGGTGGGCATGTCATAATGCTTGGCGGAGACCCTGCAAGCTGCTATGCTGCCCTGGAAGCACTCCTCTTCCTGCCTCACCACCTGTTCAGGTCGATCATTCTTTTTTTCTGTCATTATTTTTTCTTTGCTTTGGCAGTGTATTTGGGCTATTTCTTTCTCTGGAGCTTGGGCATATTGGTTGTCTTTTGGCTCTTTTTACTAGCAGTCTTTCCTTTTCAGTATATGGGAGAGATTACTAGCTCACATATATAGTTTAGTTATTAAGTTTCTAAATAAGTTCAGCCTCAGAGTACAGATTTTGTATCTATTGCTTATTTAATCCATTGAGATCTATTCTCTCTGCTTCATACAGTATGTTTGCATTCAACTTGAAAATTGCATGCTTACTTCAAAATTGGAATGTGACTTCTGCTGCTGATAGATCCAGTTATGGTTTGGTTGCGTACTACTCAAAATGATTTTATATCGTATCATAAATTTCAGGAACCGTATCATAAGTGGTGCCTTCTTCCGCGAACAGTTGCGGTGCTCGCTGTCGGCGTCAGACTCCCAAGGTTCGATCCGCCGCTCATCCTTCCATTCTCCCTGTCGGTCTGTGTGTGATCGATGTTCTGTTTGTTTGATTCCAAACAGCAAGCGAGGATGACCACGGCGCGGAGGAGGACGAGGACCCGAGCTCGATTCCGACCACGACGTACCGCACAAGGTCCCTGCTTCCTTCCTGACGGCAATGGATCCCTTCCTTGCAGGTAACACTTCCCCTCTCCCTCCCACTGACTTGCTAATCTAATTTAGCCACAGGCTGCTACAAATCACATTGCTTGCTGCATCTTACTTTGTTGCCTTGGATTTTGTTGCCTGGGTTGCTGACGAGATCCATCTGCCCGGCTGGAGCCTGTTATTCTCTTGATGGAAGTCAGCCCAATTGTAGGTACGGACTACAAAATACACAGCCCCATGGCTATGTATATGTACACATCCCATTACTGCCAGTGTTGTTCAAATTTAAACTGTTGTCATAAACTGTTGTCGACGGCTTTGAAGTATTTGGATTGAGGATTATGGAGATAATTTTGGTTGAGAACTATAACTGAATTAAACTAGAAATACGCTACAACACTTCGGGTAGGATTCAACGTATCATATGGAATGGTAGATGTTAATTATTCAAGGTGGATGGTCCACTAAAACTATTGCTTAAATGATTCATTATTGGTAAGTTGCATGCTTTGTTAGTCGATTGGGTATATTTAAGTCACTGGATTTGTTCTATATTTTCTAGCAGTTTTTTTACTTGCAAAAAATAAATGGCAAATAAAATTCCAATTAGATATCTATGAAGTTTTCTAAAAAAGGCTATGAACTGATTGTGTGGACTTGGTATGGGAGAAGGCCTGTTGATGGTTGTCTACATTTATATATTAGTATCTTATCTATTATATTTTAATTTGTATCCATGGGTTTCTCCAAATATTTGTATGTATTGGGAGTGGAGGTTTCCATGACTATTGAGCATTGATCGGTTAGAACAGCTGATGAAGAATGGAGCCCTTTGGTTGGAATTTCTTATATAACTTGCGGCGTCGTAGGTTCCATAGAATTTGTTAAGGAAAGTGCATCGAATAGAAATGGCTTTTGCTAAGAGAACAGGGTATACTTTTTGTGATGCATGGCGGGTTGTCCTTTTAGCTTCTTAGTCATTGTGTATGGATGGTTTGGTTAATGCCGGTTTTAATCGCTGACATGATCTTGGAGGTTTGGTTCAATTAAAAATATCATGTCATGTTACCAGCATAGATGCTATTTTCTTATAACTACCCCTTTCTTCCTGTCACAGTAGCACCATTCCAGATTGTGCATTAATAATGAAAACCTATCTATGATCTGTTGGTCTGATCCATTTATTCTTTTTTTATTTATGTGATGACTTTTCTGAATACAAGAAGCTGAAGGTGTTACCATTCATGGACATGGAACAGAAGCTGCCCAGATATTGTGACAACAAATGGAGGTTAAATCGGGAAGCGGAAGCCAGGTGATACCTTGATCACTATCTTTACTACTCTCATGCATATTCTACTGTCGAAATCTAGGTGCAGTATTTCCACATTGGAAAACTTTGTATGGTCCATGGACTGAAAGTTTATTTGTTTTGGGGAACTCTCATTGGTAGGATTTTGCACTAGGACGCTTTTTATGGGCATATACAACATTATTTTTTACTGATGTCTGATTATTGTAGCTTCAAACTATTCCCTGTGATGTTTTTCTTGAACTATATTCACTGTGGTGTTTGTACTACTGCATTTATTCCTTAGAACATTTGACGGCCCAGTAATAATAGTGCTAATACAAACTGTTTTACATAAGGTCTCATACATGGCAGAACCTGTTGTTGGGACTGGTTTGTTTCGTGTAGTATGTCAACTGTAGTATATGCAGTTTGTTTGTTCTGAGGAATTCTATATGCCGATGAACTTTTCTTCTGTTCCCATGCCAGGGATAGTCAAACGGTCTTGGCTATATGGTTCGCTTGAATTCTTGCATGATGTGATTAAGGTTCTTTACTGACAATATATGAAGGTTTTTGAGACTCGTATATATATATATATATATATATATATATATATATATATATATATATATCAGGATTCTTGGCTGTCCACTTACCCAGAAACTTTGAGGCGGGTATTTGGTTGAATATGCTTAGTGTATTCTTTCCTAAATTTTGCTACTAAACTGTATTTAGAAATAACTCATACATTACTAATACCGTACTTGAATGGTTAATGGGCTCACTACACGTTAATTCTACTTTTGTTTCATTGATATTTTATTTATCTTCACGCACTACCAATATACTACAACTATCTGGCAAACTTCACGAGTGATTACAGATTGAAGGTTATTACCCGGCAAGCAAATCCACCTTTGCAGGTATGCATTTAGCCCATTCTGAAGTGACTTGCAATCTCTGCTTGCTGAATTCTTGGTGTTAATTCTACTTCTGTTTGAGCATTCTGTGTTTTATTTGAAGCTTTGAATTAATCCAGCATTAGCTTTACTAATAATAAATTTGTTTGCCGGGTGCAGTTTGAATAAGCTTGCGACTGGAGTGTAAAATAAATTACCTACACAAAAGAAGGGTTAAATAAGGATGAAGGTTCGGGTATTTGGGTTGCTGATACGCTGAAACTTCTGTTTTTATTACTTTATGAAGGTTCAAGTATTTGGGTGGTTCCTCTACCTCTCGCGGATCTCTTGTGCTCTGCTCGTTTCTTACTCTCTTTCTTGTTTCTCTGCTTGATTTGCAGTTCAGACGGTGCCGTGTCGTTGGGGTTGCCTTGCCGGTCGACCGGAGATGGAGCTTTATCGTTTGATCCTCTGCCCTCCCCGTCGAGGTTGCTCCTCACCATCGCAGGCACGGTCTGGTCGGGGCCACGACGACGAGAGGAGCAGCAGAGGATAACTTTTCCCCACGGATCCTTCTCGTCTTCCACGTGATTCGAGTCGCCTCTCTCCGTCAGGTACGAACTCGATCCGCCTCCCCGCAGGATGATTCTCCGTTGATTTCTTTTCCTGTCGCGTCGATCCGGGAGGATCTGGGACGGAATATCTGGGACGGAATCCGCCGCACCTGATGCTGGGTCGTTTCATCGATTTGATCCTGTTCGCCCCCGCTCTGTTTGCTTGATGATCCATTCGATTGGGGATAAGCAAAGGGGTTCGGGGATTGATGATTTGTTGGGAAGTTAGCCTCTGCTGCTGCATCTTAGTTGATCTGATCTGGATTTGCAGTTTGAGGTAGGGGTCCATAATGTGTGGGCATTTTGCGAGCTTGTAAGCTTATGTAGAACTGCTTGGATAGATCCAACTATTCTGTGGTAGTTGCTGGTATGTATGGTAAATTAACCCGATTAGCCTGCTGTGTATGAATATTTAAGCCGCTTTCTTTCAATCTGTTGGTTCTGAGCTTTGCATCACTGGTGTGTGTTCCTTCCAGATCCTGCACGGACCTCCCTGTCAGGCCCCTCTTGCCGCCCGTCGACATGACCTTCGATCTTGTTGTGTTGATCATGGGTAAGTGGCAATGCATTATAATGTAGTCATTGGAGTTCTCTTTTGGGCTTTTATTTAACTATTGATGTACAATGTTTACAACTACCCAAAAAATTAAGCTATGTGTGACGTGATTTATAACTAAGCATGGTCTAATGTTTTGAGGGCAATGACAGGGACCATTCCATTTGAAGAGGCTCATGCTGCCCGGATTTTGTTAAGCAAGCCATCTATGTCCCAAAGTTGAGGACCGTTTGGAGAAGAGGCCACCCAGGTAAGCTTATCCAATCTCAAACATTAATTTAATCACTATTTAGTTGCCGTACTTGCGTTCCTAGATGGATCTTTTGAGATTCCACAACTTTGATATTCTTACTTGGGATCATTTGATATGTGCCCTTGAAAATAACAGAACGGATCATTCCTAGATGAATTCTTAGCTGATTTCACTGGGCTTCTCCCTTTACGCCAATATGAAATATATTAGCTGCAGTATATAGTCTAGGTTCATTTTAATGCGACTAAATGAGATACAAATACTACCTGCTTATACCACTCGAATATCCACCGTTAGGACGTTATGTTCCCTGCGAACACAACATAACCTTTTTGACTTATTATCCCTAAAAAAAGATGACTGTTTTTCACAAGCTGAAAAGACAATCTGATCTGCCACATTTGGTCTGAAATTTTCTTCTTGTGTGTCCACATGATAAAGAGGATGCCTTTGATCAATTGTAAATCACTTATTTTTCTAGGATATATAGATTTCTTGAATTACCCACAATATACTTTTATGTCATCTAATATATGTCTCCCAGACAATTTAAACAGATGCAGGATATGATTAGGCGCACATATACAAGTATCTTTATGACGACACCTGCACCAGTTTTCATCGTTGTTGTTCTTGCCTGTTGCCTCCCCCCCTATCGCTTCGCTAGGTGAGAGACCCCTCTCCTTTCCTGTTAGAAAATACCAAGTATTTGCAATGCTTGATTGTTATGCCAACTTTTCTTAGAATCTTGGTGCATGGGCCATACAGTGATCTCCATACTACAATTTAGAATTATAAGAAATTGCATTCTCTATTTATTTAGGCATCTAGGTTTGTATTTTTCTGATTTGGTTTTTGCTTTCTGGTCATTTGGTACCGTGCGCCATGATGTACTTTCTGTCTATCACTGAAGATTCAGACACGCCTTCAGTTTTCCTGTGGCAAGTTGACATGGATGAAGCTAAGAATATGCTCTTCTAAATACCGAGGAAGTGCTCATAATCATGGCTGTGTAAGCCTACACTAGGTTGTGAAGGCCAAGACTCCGTTGAGGATGTGCAGTTATGTGACCAAAAAAAATTGCTGATTGACATTATAGCTATGCTGCATATTTCCCAATATGCTAGGTTAAAGGTCCTATCACAAGCCGCATCATTTAACTGCTCCTAATCTTATAGACAATTCTATTTTTAATTTTCTTTTGTTGTCCTCTTATGCCTAGAATAATTCAAAATCATTTGCCACATTTATATATTAGTGTGGGATTATTCTCTCATCATTATTGTTGGGTTGTTGTGTGCCCCTTTTATCTATTAGATGCTTTCTCTGCCTTATGACCTCACTCTCTCCTGCTCTCCTAAGGTACGTTTTGATTGTGTGGTCTCGGAATTGAATTGCATTGTATTGTTTGATAAGATATTCGAACAATTTTTGATCGCGTGGCATCCAAATTTCAGTTGCTTGGTAGGTAGTTGCATTGTTTGTCACTTCATTTCATGTTTCAGATCTTACTAGGTTTGATTATGTCTTGGCTTGGACAGCGGCGCAAGTAGAGAGAGGATGTTTGCCTACTACTACTCCCATCATCCTGGCTTACAGGTCGCCTTCGTCACAGAGCCGGACGGGGTATCCCGCCATGCCTCACGTAGCTTGCAGGCCAGGCTGCTGCCAAATTAGCCTTCCCTAGCTATAAGGGTTTCGGTACTTTCAGCTCCTGCGGGTCATCATATTGTTAATGTGTCAAAGTAAAGAGAAAAATGATGCATTGAATTACTAATAAAGTGGTTTGGATGAGATCAGAAACCTCTCACTTTTAATGTTGGAGATCGTTATGAACCGAGTGTTTTAGAGAAATTCAGTTCACATGAAGCAAGAGAAAGGCATGTAGCATACATTGAGTGATTATTAACCCATTGTGATACTGAGAAATTGATAAAGGATATATTTATTAACTTGAATGTTTGACGTGGACTGGGAGAATCTCAGTTGTGATATGTACATAAATCTTCTATTTTTTTCATGGTACTGAATGTCCTGATGTATACACATCTATTCTGTTTATCTCCTAGAAATAACGAAATGGCCTATTTATGTTTTAGTTATATTATGTTGTTGATGATGAGTGGTTCTGGAACATGGAGATCAACATTAAAGTTTTTGCTATCTTGAATGTTTACGTTTTTTTATGAACCTATTAGAGCCAGCTTTTCCTATTTCGCACTCCTGCTGGCTTGCTTTTGGTGTTGTATAAAAACTGTTTTTGCTGAATTTGACGAGGATCAATTGTCTTGCCTTGCCTTTGAACTAAATGTTTCTTCTTTGTCATGAGCATGCGAATCAATTATACTATAGGTACTAAACCCATTAGTTCGGAGGAGTACTGTAATTTTCTTTGGATGTAACAAACGCTTTGTGGTATATTAATATATTACATGCTGGACCACGACGTTGTTATGGGCGGTCGAGGACATGATGGCCAGCCTCAGCACTGGAGGTGTTATGAGACGGTCCGAATGATGGTGGGTACGGATAAGAGGGCCACAATAACAATCAAGGGACTAAAGAGTATTAGATATGTGTCTACGCCTTCAAAATTAAAAGGGGATCTCATGTTCATGTCTTACTAAATGTCTTGCTTTTGGTATAAGCTAAAGTTTATTCTTATTCTTGAACAAGAAAATATGTTGTCCTGTTGAATGCATGTGCTAAATCAGGCTTCCGGCTTCCTACTATCATACTATTTGATCATTACCTGCTTGACCATAGCGTTGGGACCGGCACCCCGCGTCAAGGCGCGCTGCCTATCTAGTTTGGTATGCATGCCCTTACAAATTGATTGTTTTCGATGGAGTTGTCTAACATGTTTGCGACCAAATTAATACTTGACTTGGATTACAAAAAACACATATATCAAGGAGGCAAAAATAATGCTCTTTTGCAAATGTTATTTTCATCGTAATGCAAATATTTGTTGGGCACCACCGAGAAGGAACGACAACAGATGCGTAAAGAGATACTTGCAACTAGATAGATATTTATATTGTCTAAATTGAAAACACCTTGAATACACTTTAAAAATCATCACGTCTTTATGTTTTTAAGCAACATCACTTATCATTTTGTTTTTCATGTGACATCGTTCACGATTTCAAGAGATTTACTGATGTCTCGAGAGTGTGTATGAGATGTGATTTTTTCGCTCCCGTTGCAACGCACGGGCATGTTTGCTAGTATGCTAGTATCATCAGTGAGATTGAAGCTACAATAGGCCAGTTTCATCAGTGCTCCTTCATCTTAGAAGGGCGTAGCACAAAATCGAGGCACATAACCTTGCTAAACACGCTTTTGGTTTAGGGTTAGGCCTCCATTTTTTTATTGATCTCTCCTCCAGACCTATCATGTATACCGAATATTACTGAGTAATAAATAATTGGACTAAAGAAAACTAGATCGCCAGCAGACCAAACTTCGGCCACCTACGAAGCTCCTTCCTTTTTCTTCCCATAAAAAAAAGCTCCTTCTTTTTTTCTTATTTTTTCATTAGGGATTTTCATTTTTTTTCATTTTCGCACCTTATTTTATTTTTTATTTTCCTTTTTCTGTTCTTTTGCTTTTCTTTTTTCTTTTCTTTTTTTCTCTTCATTTCCCTTTAAATTTTTTTAATTCTGTGATCATTTTTTAAATAGTGAAATGTTTTGGAAACATGAACATGTAACAAATTCGGGAATGTATTTATTCCGAAATCATGAAAAATTTATACAAATACACGCACATCTTATTAAATTTTAAAAGATTTTTGAAACACCTGAGCATTTTTTGAATTGGTCAACATTTTTTAATGATGACGTTTATAAATTTGGGAACAATTTTTGAAATGTGCCAACATTTTTTGTCTTTTGCACACATGTTTTAGCAAATCATGAATTTTTTTGAATTTACAACTTTTCTCAAATTCATGAACTATTCTGAACATGCATACATTTGATTATGAAATGGTGACCATGTTTTGAATACACGAGCTTTGTTTTAGAAATTTGGTAACATTTTTTAAATTCGGGAACATTTGTATGGAAACTCGTGAGCAGTTTTTAAATATATGAAAAATAAATAAATCACAAACATTTTTTAATTCAATGAATTTTTTTATGATTTCTTAAAAAAATAATTCTCATTTTTGGAACCTTTTTGTAACCATGAATTTTTTAAGAAGAATGAAAAAAGTGGGTGCATCCAACCCCGAAAATGGGCCGGCCTAAGGTGGCCTGCTGGGGGAAGGGAGGGTGCGCGCTAGCTCGTTCACTAGCGCGCATAGTGCTAAAAAGGAGCTTACGTGGGAAGCTATGTTCCACCTGCATCGACCCCTACATGAGCATGAGCAAGAAAACCAAGATTTGTTAACGAGTTTGACCAACATGCCTACATCTCTCGGCCATGACTAGATGGGCTTCTCCCATTTACTAAATCAACATATTATAGTCGACAACAGGCCAGTCGAGGCCATCAGACAGGACTTTGACCACCCATCATGATCGGTCTGGTCACCCTTGCTACATGCGATGTGTCGTCCCTCTCGTGATCTTTGTCCAGCCCACCAGGTTATGTCTAGTCTAAATAATGGCCTACCACCTTATGTCTAGTCAAAATAAGGCTGCAACTTTTTTTTTTGAAGGTAACTAGGGGATTTTATTCAGAGTTCATCACATCCGGAATACAAGCAATATCTGAAAGGATCCCTAGCCACA